AGTCCCCGCTCGGCCATGGAGCCAACTGGGTGACTTTGGGCCAGTCAGTCTCTCAGCCCAACCTACCTCACAGGGTTGTTGTTGTGGGGATAAGATGGAGGAGGAGAGATAATGTAAGCTGCCTTGAGCCCTTTGTAGGAAAAAAGGCAGGATATAAATCAAAAAATAAAAATAATAAATAACTCAGTCAGGCTGACTTCTCAATAGACATACATAATATTGCAGGATTAGTCTGTCTACATATACCCTTCCCAAATCAGTCCCAAGACAATCTAGCCAATGCTGAGAGTATCACAGTCTAAACACCCTACAAAGGTCAAGTCTGGGCAACGTAAAAAATCGACGTACAAATAAAATTCTAGCATGCGTGAACAAAAATAATATTTTTTATGAACGATTAGGTGCATTGCCAGCAGGAAGAAAACCACTCACTGCTTACAGAGAATGCAAAGGCCGTTCAATCCCGCCAGGTTGGAGAAAGCCGTATCAGTCGAAAGTTTTCATGTACGATACAATGTTACCAAAAAGTTATTTATTTATTTTATTGATTAAAACATTTCGTTACCAAAAAGTTATTTATTTATTTTATTGATTAAAACATTTCTATGCCGCCCCATGCGGCTTACAACAAAGTTAAGTTTCTGTTTTAAGGAAAGATTCATGTTAGTTTTTAACACTAGCATAGTTCTGCCTGGGAAGATTGTCTCCTAGTTTCAGAGAACTACAGCCCCCAGAATTCCTTGCACGCAGGAGCTAATTAAGTCAAAGCCCGCCCAAGGCTTATGGGGCTAATTTGAATATGCAAACAAAACACCAGAGGACCGTAACTTGACTCCCCATGTCATTTGGACCCGTAGCCCTTCGGGAGCATCGAGCTTCGTCCGGCCGTGGCGTTGCCAGTCCGGCTCCTCCTTACCCCGGACATCCAGTTGCGAAGCCTCCGAATGATACTCGTAGCCGACGCCATCTTGGCCCTCTGTTGCCAAGGGCACAGCGGCCGCGCGGCACTCTGGGAAGAGGGACGGGAAGGGGCGTGGCGGCGGCGGCACGGTGGGAATGCTGGGAGGAAGGTCTCCACTCGCAACGCCGCCGAAGCCCGCTCGTGCGTCCGGCGCGGGGCAGGCTGGGAAGCGGGTCAAAGATTTTACGGAGCGCGCAGCCACAATGGGAAGGGAAGGGAAGGGAAGGGAAGGGAAGGGAAGCCGCCTGGAGGAGTCATAAATTAAGGCAGCCGTTCACCCCAGCAGGACGCAATCACGTGAAAACCAGTCCAGTAGAAACGGTGGCAAAGCCCTCGCTCTGGCAGGCCCGTCCCGATGCCTCAAGGCAGCGGGGCGGGGCAGCGCATCGTCGTGAGGACGGGGAAAAAAGGGCAACTCGGGAGGAGGAGGAGGGAACTCCCGTCGCGCGAGGGACGCTGGGAACCACCGCGGGGCGTGCTGGGATAGCAGTCCGGTGCTAAGTTTCGCCCGGAAAGGGTAAGGACGGGCTGGAGCTCTCGCGATGCTAGGCCGGGCCTTCCGGGTCGTCTATAAAGCGCCGCGCGCGGCCACGTGATTCCCTCTCCCTCCGGCGCCGCCATGGATACGAGCCGCGTGCAGCCCATCAAACTGGCCCGGGTCACCAAAGTGCTGGGCCGGACCGGCTCGCAGGGCCAGTGCACCCAGGTGAGCCCCCGGAGGGAGCGAGGGGGGGAGGGGAGGGGGGGCGGCGGGGTTCGCGGCCTCCGTCCGACCGACCGACCCTGCAGAGGGTGCGTTTTTTGCCCGATCGGAGGCACTCTCGATGGCTGGCCGCTGCAGGGCCGCAGGCAGACGAGGCTCCCGCTCCCTCCGACGGGGCGAGGCCGCTCTGCACGCCCGCCCGATCCGAGGGAGCGGCACAGGCTCAGCCGGGACGGGGGTGGCCTTTGCGGCGAGGAAGAGCAGCGGGCCCGGTTGGACGAGCCGTCGCCCCCGCGTAGGGACGCTACTCTGCGAATTATGATTATGATTATGATTATTATTATTATTATTACATTTCTATGCCGCCCCTTGCCGAAACCTCGGGGCGGCTTGCAACATGATAAAATACATTGAAATACTCAGAGGCGGTTCTCTTCTCTGCCGTCGCTGGCCTTACCTGAGAGGAAGGGGTGGTGTGGGCCCGAGCATCTCTCCCCGGGTAGCTCCGTTTTCTGCACGCTCAGAGGTGCGCCCCTCTTTTACGTTGGGAATGGTGTTTTTTTTTTATTGATTTTCGATTGATATCCTGCCTACGGGCATCTCGCTCATCTCCACGGATGTGAGCAAGCGGCTGAATGAGAATCGAATTTTATTTATTTATTTATATTGTGATTTATATTTATTATTTTTCAATTTATATCCTGCCTTTTTCCTACCAAGGGCTCGAGGCAGCTTCCATCTCCTCCTCCATCTTATCCTCACAACAACAACCCTGCGAGGTAGGCTGGGCTGAGAGGCCGTGACTGGCCCAAAGTCACCCAGTTGGCTCCATGAACCCAGATCGCCTGAATCTCAGTCCCATGCTCTTAACCACTCCGCCACACTGGCTCTCAGATACATGTGCCTTTCTCCATCTGTTACCCCCAAAAGTACAACCCCCCCCCCCCCCCAGGATTACGTGCAGAGGTGTGCCGAGTTACTCTAAGTGTGCTTTGTGTACCTGGAGTGACCCTCTTTCCCCATACTCCCTTCTCATGCTTTGACGATATATTTCAAAAGGTTCTGGAGGCATGTGAGGGAGAGAGCTTTCTGAACATGCACAGAAGTGTTCCTCCCAGTTCCTTCTTGATGAGAGGAGGAGATGACTCGAAGTGACATTGAGGACCGCAGGGGACAGTTGCCTTTGATAGTTTGTGCTCACGGACATTTGGTTCTAAGGCATCTCCAGGGTATCAGGTTGTGGAAGAGATCCTGCCAATCTCTCCAGGTTGGGCTGGGACAGACCCCCATTTGAAATGCTGAATAACCAGCCAGTGTTGACATTACTCGGGTTGGATAAAGCGATGCTCTGATAGCACAGAAAGCAGCTTTCAAGGCTCTGATGAAATCAGAAATTTCTTATTTTATATGGATATTTTAAGTTATTGTTTTATCTATCTTGTAAGCCGCCCCGAGGCTTCGGCGAATGGGGCGGCATAAAAATTATTATTATTATTTTTTATTATTATAACATTTCTATGCCGCCCCTTGCTGAAACCTCGGGGCGGCTTACAACATGATAAAATGTATTGAAATACAATAGTACATAATAAATTACCATTAAATATAAAAATACAAAAAATACATTGATTTACGAATACAAAATTAAAATTATCAGTATAAAATAAAAATATAGGATGAGAAAGAGAAGGAAGAAGAAGTTGCCCAGGCCAGATCATATGTTTTAACAATTGAAATGATGTTTAAATAAAAAGGTCTTTACCTGGCACCGAAAAACCAGTAACGACGGTGCCAGGCGGACCTTCAATTCAGATCGAGGAGAATCCTGGCGGCATCTCCCTGGTGGGGCTGCAAAATCTAGAGAGGTGCTGGCTGGGCTGTGCTGCGACTGGTTTAGGTTAATGAAAAGGCATATGGTAAATGTGTACAGAATTATGCATGGTGTGGACAAGGGGGAACGGGAGTTGTTTTGTTGCCTGCAGAACCCAAAGAGCTCAACCAATGAAAGGATGGGCGATTCAGGACAGGCGCAAGGAAGGACTAATGTAAAGGAGCTAAAACCCCTAAATTTAATTGGCTCATGATGTTGTGATAGCCACCTCTTTTGAAGGCTTTAGAAGGGGCTTGGGCAGATTCATGGAGGAGAAGGCTATCCAGGGCTACTAGTATTGAAGGCCATACACCGATTCCAACATCAGGCACAATGTCTATGTTGGACCAGTTTCTGGGGAACATGGGTGGGAGGGTGCTGCTGCACTCCCATCCTGCTTGTGGATTTTCTGCAGACAGCTGACTGGCTGCAGCGGGAACAGGAACTTAGACTAGATCAACCCTTGGCTTCAGTCTGGGCTCTGTTTACATTTGTGACTTTAGAAGCAAAGGGGGATCTATCAGTGGCCATTTAGCCCTTATAACAAAATAAAGCATCTGTGTCTAGTAGCAGTCTACCCACAAAAGCCAGGTATTGGGGCAGATGGCCAAGGAAGCCTCCCTTCATGTGCTTGTGATCTTCCTGACTGTCCCCTGCTGGAAGCAGGCTGCTTGGATAGATGGACCTGCCTTGGCTGGGTTCAGGAGGAGCATGCTTGGCTGTCTCATTTAAAATCACAAAAGCATCTAGGGCCTTTGTGTGAATGACGTAGTGGCATCCTTTAGGTCAAATAAAGGGTCATTTTGATAGGTTAGAACACCGGGCAGAGAACAACAGAATTAAATTCAATAGGGTAAAGACCAAGTCCTCCACTTAGGAATAAGAAACCAAACAGACAGCTACAAGATGGGGAATCTTGGTTTAACAAGACTGCTAATACTTGGTTTAACAAAATGAGAAGGAGCCTGGTGGTGTTGTAGATCACAAGATAAATACGAACCGGCAACGTGATGCAGCGGCAAAAAGGGCAAATGTTATTTTGAGCTGCGTTAACAGAAGCGTCACAAAACACATGAAGTACTCAGTACCAATCAGACCTCACCTGGAGTACTGTGTTCAGTTCTAGGCACCTGAATTTTAAAAAGGATGCAGAAAAACTAGAAAGGGTACGGAGGAGGGTAGCAAGGATGAAATAGCCAGTGTGGTGCAGTGGTTAAGAGCATGGGACTGGGACTCAGGTGATCTGGGTTCGAGTCCCCGCTCGGCCATGGAGCCAACTGGGTGGCTTTGGGCCTCGCAGGGTTGTTGTGGGGATAAGATGGAGGAGGAGAATGATGTAAGCTGCGTCGAGCCCTTTGTAGGAAAAAGGCAGCGTATAAATCGAAAAATACAGCGAGTCAGAAGAGGCCCACCTGGCCATCCAGTGTGACTCCCAGCTTGCTCTATTTAAGATTCGGGGACTGGAGGCAAAGCCCTGTGAGGAGAAATTGAGAGAGCTGGGCATGTTTGGCCTCAGGAAGAGACCGCTGAGGGGAGAGAGGATAACACTGTATAAGTACCTCCAAGCCTGTCACAAAGAGGAAGGACCAGAGTGCAGAACACGTAATATTGGACTTAAGTGAAAAGAATCGAGATTTCGACTAGACACCAGGAAGAATTTCCTCACTTTCAGAGCACTTTGACAATGGAACCTTATACCTGGAGAAGTTGTGAGCTGTCCCTCACTGGAGACATTACAAAAGCATCCGGGCTGTTATCTAAATGGGATGGTGTAACTCAGTGCCCTGTAGCAGCAGGGGGTTGAATTTGATGGCCTTCTGGTCCCTCCCAGCGCTACGATTCTATGACTCTTAAGTCCCTGAACTCGGCTACTTTCTCTTGGGCACACACCCCTGCTCCTTGCTTGGTAAAATTTGGCCTCGTTCGGGGAGCTCGGCTGAACCAGGGCTGTTTACGGGTGGCGCTGGCCCTGCATGGTGCATTGGTGAGGCTAGCGTAGTCCTGGCAGTGTGGAGCGATGCGTGCTCCGTGCACTGGCTAAGTCCCGGCAGCTCACCCCTTGCTGGACGGCCGAGCTCGGCTTGCTCGGCGGAGCGGTGGGCTCAGTTCCATCCCCGATACAAACCTCTCGCTCGTTCTTCCGATGCAGGTCCGTGTGGAATTCATGGACGACACCAGCCGTTCGATCATCCGCAACGTCAAAGGCCCAGTCCGGGAGGGCGACGTCCTGACACTGTTGGAGTCTGAGCGCGAGGCCCGGCGGTTGCGCTGAGCCCTGGTGAGTGTGACTCTGCTTCGGCCCCCCTTCCCCTGAAGAGCCTCCTCCACGTCTGTGCCCTGGTATTCGGGGTTGCCGCTCCTGGCATCCAGGAGCACTGGGTGCCCTGGTTGGTGTTGCTGAGCGGGTGCATCCATCAGGCCTGGCCTGGGGAGGCTTAGTTGGACCCCTAAATAATTTGGCGGGGAAATCCCCCCTTTTACAGCAGTTACTATCTGTCGTGACTGAGCTGAGTGTTGAAGTGCCTTTTTTTTTTTTTCTTTTTAGATGGGGTGAAAACTCCTCAGCATGACCCGCTTATTCGATCTGCTCTGGGCAAGATGAGTCATCAGATGCGATTGAAATAAAGTTTGTTGCCTTCCCATAAAGTTTGTTGCCTTCCCCTGCTAAACCTTTTCTGGGTGATGCTTCTGAAGTGGCCAAAAGCGAGCATGTGGCAGTGGCTGAAATGACTGTCCCTTCCTGCCAGCTCTCCCTCGGCCTCTAGGGCTTCTAGCCACTCCTCGCCTGTCACTTCCAGCTGGTGTGGTAGTGAGTGACTTGGAGGTCCCAGTCCTTGTCCCCACTCAGCCATGGAGCAACTGGGTAACTTGAGGCCAGTCCGTCTAATCTACCTCACAGGGTTCTTACGAGGACCAAATTGAGTGGGGGAAGCCTAGATAAGCCACCTTAGATTCCTTGCAAGAGGGAAAAGGCAGGCTGTAAATACAGTATAATTAGAGTAATAATATAATTATGGTTATTTTCACAGGATTTCCTCATTCTGCAAAGCCACACTAGACTAATTTCTCTCATATCCACCCAAACATACTTTTTTGTAAGGAAAATGGCCCCCAAGCTTGTAGGCCCTCTGTACAGAAAGTGAGCATATGGTACGTGTCCAGACATTTTGGGCTTGACCTCCCTTGCCAGCACACCCAGGCACCTGGAGAGCTACGTCTGTGCTTAGCCCCTTCCCCGTTGGAGATTTCGCAGAGCAGCCCTTTGCTATTGCCTGAATCAGCCCCCACAATGTTGAGGGAGGACTGGGAACAGCTCCCGAAGAGCCAGTGCTGATCTTGAATCTGCCAGACTGAAGGGTTCGAGTCAGCAGGAGGCAGCTTCCTGTGTTCCTATTTACACTGGTACCTTGGCTCGTGAACTTAATCCGTTCCAAGACTCTGGTCGTGACCCAAATTGGTTGTGAGCCAAGTTCAATTTGTCCATAAGGGTCAATGTAAATAAGGTTACTCTGTTCTGTAACTATTTTTTTTAAATCAGAAAAATGTGAAGCAAAGTGACGACAGAGATGGCGGCCGTCTCCCCACCACCACCCCGAGCATGAGCGCGGACATCTCCCTGCCCCCCCCAGCACAACCACAGTCATGCCCATCATCCCTGCATGCGCCCATCATTCCAGCGCGCGTGGGGGGGGGACGGGCACGAACAGGGCACGCTGGGGGAGGGAGAGATGGAGACAAACGCGGGTGCGCTGGGGGGGGATGGCCGAGATCGTGGTTGCGCTCCTGCAGAAAAGATGGGCGCAATCTCGGCCATCTCCCCTCCCCAGCACGATCGCGGCCAGCACCCCACCTGTGGGTGGGGGGAGATGGGCCCACTTGCGATCGTCACCCAATGTGGAGTTTGAAAATTTTTATTACATTTTTGTTCATGACCCGATTTGGTTGTGAACTGAGCTGTTTGTGTGCCAAGGGAGCGCTGTACCTCCTCCTCTGCAAAATCCTCCGACAGGGTACCCCCTCTGTGAGTGCTGTGAGGTCTGAACTGCCCTCTATCACAAAGTGCTGAATTATCCCTTCCCCTCAGCTCCCACGGTGGAAGGCTTCTGTAGTGAACTTGTTCTGCCTCCTGGCTCGCATTGCCCCTCTAGCATCACAGCCACTGGGTTAGGAGAGACCAGTGGTTAAGTCCAGCTGGACTATATCCCAGTGACCATCCCTCGGGGCGTGGGTGGTTTTCGGAGGCGCCGGAAGAAGCAGAAAGGCAGGTGTGCTGGGTCTAAAGAGCATTCAGAGGTGGTTTCCCACAGCTTTATTTTCCATCTGAAATAGCAAAATTCCACAGCCGCCATGTTAGGGAGGGCTGTCTTTTCCCCAGTCACGGGCCAGTAGGCAGGATTTGGCCCATGCCTATGAAGAATTCACCTCTGGGATGCCCCCCTGGGCAACGAGCAGGTCTTCCCTCTGCCAGAACGTCTCCCTTGGGCTGAGTAACCGGTGTGTCCAAGCGCAGCTCAGTCCACAGGCATGTCTCCTTCCTGGGTCACAATCGCTGCCGATGTTCCAGAGTGGCTCACCCGCCCTGTGCTGCCCCAGAGACACCCACACGGTTCCCTGCAATGTGCTCCCTTGAGCAAGCCTGTCTTAGGAAGAACCTTGGGAAAAGCTGGGCTAGGGGCCCTGTTCTGTAGCGCTCTTGCCACATTGGATGTGCCTGTATAGGACAGCACAGCTTCAAAGGGTTCACGCACTGCTTTGCTGTCTTTCCCCTCGGTCCCTTGTGATTCCACTCCCGGTCCCCGGCCAGCTACCTCTCTTCCTGGCCCCAGCCTTTCCCTTTTCCCCCTGCACCCCCTGTATCTCATGGCTCCTCTCCGCTCGCTCTTCCTCCCCACTTTCCCTTGGCTTCCCAGCCACATCACTAGACTCATGGTTCCACTTCCCCACACAGGCCTCACGGCAAGCCTGCTGAAACCAGCCACGTCGCATATGGGTCCCTCTGCAAAGGGGGCGCCCAAAGCACTTTCTCAGAAACATCCAAATGTGCTCCCAGGTCCACCAAGTCCGGGGACCCTATTCCAAAGTGAAACATTTGAATAGATGCCTGCCCAGTGCCTTCTCTTGGGGGGCCCCTTCACAAGACGAGGTCACGGTGCTTTCTTCCGACAAGGTTACATTTGACCAGTAAAAACGAAGCCCCGTGCACCGGATTTCTTTGCATGGCTCTGGTCACAGATGAGGAGCGAAGGGGATTAGCATCTTCATGCGCATCTCAGTGCAAGGGTGCATAAGCAAGTTCCCTGCCCCGTGTTAATTACAGAGGAGGGAGGGCATTATGTCCTCACTGACGTGCCCAATCGGAGTTGGGGCGCCTACCTTGCTGTTGGCAGTTCACCCCCTGCAAAAAATGCAGCTTGCCACTACAAATCTGGTAAGGATTCTAGCTGAGGCTTTTCTCAGATCGTGCAGTTGGGCCTGAGGAATTTGAACTTTATACAAATGGGACATTGTCCTTGAGGCGGTGGAGTTGACTTGGATGGTATCAGACAGCTGGGGGGGGGGGGGAGACTTGGTGGGCGGCTTAGCCTGGTGGTGTCGACTGAGGTTGGCTCGCTGAGGCCTGGGGCCCTTGTGGATGGAGGAGTGCATGCCTTCTCAGGTGTAGCCCTGCTTGAGGGATGAGCAGGGAGGGAATTTGCCCCCCAGCTCCCTCGCCCCCTCTTTTCCCTGGTGGGGCGCACAGAAGGGTCAGCTTCGTGGTCAGTGGGTGCTGGCACTGCTCTGGGCAGCAACTTCAAGAGTCTCACAGGACAGTATCGCTTGCTCTTGGGTAAAACAACATTCTGGTCAGCAGCTCAGGCCCCAGGTAGGAGCCTTGCTCTAAAGCTGCCTCTTGTCCCTGCCGGAGGTCTTCCTGGTGGTCTCCTGTGAATGGAAGATGAGATGGCACCATCAGCCCTGCAAAACGCTTGAGCAGCATCTGCACAAAATGGTAGGTTAAGGGAAAGAGCCCAGAGAACTTGGGGAAAGAATAAGTGTGCTCCTCTTCCCAAGGGGCACCACAAGCATCTGCATCCGATTCTCACATACAGGCCTTTCTGGAAACCTTGAGAAACTTGCAAATTAATCTGAGGCGCTCGCCCAGGTTTGAATCAGACCTTCAGGGCCCTCCTTTAGCGGATTTATGAGTGAGGTATTCGCAGTGCATGAAATTCAGCCAAGGACGGGCGAGTGTAGAGGGTGCTTTGCCCGTTGGCTGCGAGAGGGCTGTGTGCCCCCTTCCTGCGGCACCCCCTGCTCCAAGGTACAGCCAGAGATACTCACTGGGGATCCTGCCACTGGTTGTGCGAGGTGGGCAGATATCAGTCCGGCGATGTCGTGATGGCCCGCCTCCAGGGCGATGGAAGCTGCATCATTGCCGTCCTGCAGCGAAAGGACAAATAGGCGAGGCAAAGGAACAGCTTGGTTTCTCTGGACAAAAGACGATAAACGAGCTCTCAAGGCTAAAATGAGAGACATCGAGAGACCTAATCGTGCGATGCATTGGTAGAAACAGACCAGAGTAGCAAAGAAGTCCATTGTTCAGCTTAGAATGGGAGTAAAATGGCAGCAGCTGCCCCCAGTTTCTCCTCTCATGGGCCACACATCACAATGAAGTTTCCTAAGTCTTTTCTCCATGGATGGGGTTCTCGAACTGTTCAGGCTTGGGTTCAGAACACGAATGTTGTGCAGATCCCAATGGGGAGGAGGGCAGGAATCAGAGGAAGTTTCCCTCGGTCATAGACAACTTTTGAGGACTAGAAAGCGACCCAAAGCTCCACCTGCAGAGATGTTGAAGAGCGAGCCATTCCGGAAGCACAAGGGACCTGTTTTGGCCCTAGCATTTTCACTCCAACTTGGAGAAGCTCCCGTGGGATGCCCCGTGAAGAGGCCAGCGCAAGGAGCCAAAAAGGAGGGCGCAGCATAGCCCCCCACCCCCCGCCCCTCCCTCAGAACATATTACAGCTTTCCCGTCTGACATGTAGCCCTCGGCAAGACGTTTCGAGGCTTCAGAGCAGGGACAACACCAAGCAATCGGCCCATGGGGCCACACGGTGAAGCCCCTGCAGGCCCAGGCCAGTTCCAGGGCCTGGATTCCCCAGCCTAGCTTACGTGATCCGCGATGGAGACGTCGCAGGCCGGCTGAGAGAGAAGCAGCCGCACGGTGCCGGCCCGGCCGTGCTCGCAGGCGCACATGAGTGCGGTGGAGCCCTCCTCGTCCCGCAGGTTGACGTCCGCCCCGCACGCCAGCAGGGCCGCCACCATCTCCTGCCTCCCGTGGCTGACGGCCAGCATCAGTGCCGTCTGCCCGGCCTGGAACCCGGATGAGAAAGGAGGCGGTGGGATCGGGGCCAGGTCCCCCCAGCTCCCCTTTCTCCAAGGGGCGCCCCGTTGGCGCCCTGCCCAGCGGCACGCACCTGGCTCGCCTTGGCATCGACGTTGCCCGAGCCGAAAAGCCTCTGGACGACAGCCATGTCTTCTTCCCGCTCCAGGGCCGCCAGGGCCGCCAGCATGAGGGCCGTGTAGCCGGCTTTGTTCTGGTGGTTGACGTTGCAGACCCCTGGGGTGGCAAGGGGCCGCATAGAAACGTTATAATAATAATAATACGTAGCTAGGCGCCGGGTCAAGACCTTTTTATTTAAACATCGTTTCAATTGTGAAAACATACGATCTGGCCGGGGCAACTTCTTCTCCCTTCTCTTTCTCCTCCTATATTTTTATTTTATACTGATCATTTTAATTTTGTATTTGTAAATCAAGGTATTTTTTTTGTATGTTTATATTGAACGGTAATTGATTATGTGCTATTGTATTTCAAGGTATTTGATCGTGTCGTAAGCCGCCCCGAGGTTTCGGCAAGGGGCGGCATAGAAATGTTAATAATAATAATAATAATAATAATAATAATAATAATAATAATAACAGAGAGGGGCTGACTCCCAGGGGCTGCCACCGGGATGCTTGTCGCTGGAGATGCTTCCACGGGTCGAACCTGGGACCTCTGCAACTCGTAGCCTCATAAATAGGTGGCAGCCTATTTATGCCTACGATGATGATGATGATGTGGCAGCCTACGATGATGATGATGATGATGATGATGATGTGGCAGAGGAGAGAAAGCGGTGGGCCTGGGGTGGAGCCACTGCAGGGCCAGCTCGGGACGCTTTGCCACCCGAGGCTCCACTGCGAGGGTTGGCCTCACCCATTTTGCTGCTGCTTCGATCGATTTATTATGTATTTATTCATTTATTAAAACCCTTCTATGCCGCCCCTTGCCGAGGCCTCGGGGCGGCTTACACCATCGAATACGCAATACATTCAAACGAGGACAATTAAAATATATACGGTAAAATAAAAGAAGCCGCCCTGGCCGAAGAAAATTCAGGAATATTAACATTGGAAATGCTGCATCGATAAAAAGGCCTTCGCCCGGCGCCGAGAAAAACAAATAACGACGAATTCATCTCCTGCCTTTTTTTCTCGCAAAACCCCTGGGTGGCTCGCCTAGACCCTCCTCCTCACCCTTCGATCCTCACAACAACCCTGTGAGGTAGGTTAGGCAGCGAGGCAGCACTGGCCCAACGTCTCCCAGTGAGCGTCACCTCTCCTGTGTCCAGTCCAATGCTCTAACCATTATGCCACAGCGGGGCCTAGCGGTCGGAGCAGGCAATTCAGGGATCCCCAGTGGATGAGAGCATCCAAGGAAGCCAGCTCCGTACCAAGGCAGTGCGGTTAATTCTATTTCTTGTACCTTTAGAATCTTGGGATCCCACCCGTGGCCTAGAAATGTTGTTGTTGTAATAATAATAATAATAATAATAATAATAATAATATTCTATTTCTTGTAACTTTAGAATCTTGGGATCCCACCCGTGGCCTAGAAATGTTGTTGTAATAATAATAATAATAATAATAATAATAATAA